TCCTTACACCAGCGGCGCATGAGGACCTCCCTTGTTTGGGGCCAAGCATCGGAAGGTTTCCGTCATTTGACAAAGTTTTGCGGGTGGCTCCCACAGTTGGCTCCCATGTGTGGGGGGGTGGCCTGATTGGGGCCCATCTAGGAGACCTCGACAGTGGAGCTCTAATGGTGGGCTCCTGTATGTACTTGGAGCCTATAGTGGTGGCCCCCCGTTCTTGTGGAGCCCATTGATAGGAATGCTCTCGTAAGTTTAGCCACCCAGAGGACGGCCCCACGCATCGGACTTCCAACCACAGGCGGACGCTGCCGACCTCTCTCTGGGAGCGGCGCGCGAGCTGCTCGCTCCCCCCCCCTCTCCTTGTTTGCTCCCTCCTCTCCTCCCCTTCTCCTCCCTCGTCCTCCTCCCTCTTCCCTCTCCTGCCCCCCTCCACACCCCGCCCCTCGCCACCCACCAAACCACCCCAATCCAACCCGAAGGCCCCTGTTTGTCCTCCATTCCCAGTGGGAGGGGCGTCGGGGAGCACTGAAAGCATGCAGGTGGAACCCGTACCCCCCCCAACCCGAAATTTGGGTCCTCGGGTCAGGTCGGGGTGGTCTGGTAGGTAGTCAGCCTCCTCCTCTCCGCCTCGCCGTCGCTGTCGCCGGCGTCCGCTCAGCACCACGCGGAGCCTTGGACACCTCCCCTGGGGCCGGTCCGCGCCAGCCTCTGGACGCCGCGAGACACGCCCAGGCCGTCGTGAGTGGCGCCTCCAGGACCTCCGAGACGCAGTCGTCGCCGCCGCCGCCGCCGTCGTCATCGTCGTCGTCGTCGTCGTCGTCGTCGTCGCCAGTCTCCTCTCGGCGGCGAGCGCGTGGGGAGGTGAGGAGGATAAGGCCGCCTTGGAAGGCGCTTGGGCTCCTCGAGCAGCCCTCTGGCCTGCTGACAGGCCTCCCGTGTCTTCGGGGAAGGCGCAGAAGACCTCTCAGCAGGGCGAGGGACCTCCGAGCCTTCTCAAACGGCCGGCCCCCTCTCGCTTCCCCCGCGGGCTGGCCGCCAAGCCACAGGACGGGAGCGGCCCCTGCGCCTTCGACGACATGGGCGCCTGCGGCAAGACTGTCCGGTTCTTCAACTTCTCCCTGGAGGACGGGCCCGGCGCCTTCCCCTCGCCCCCTGCTGTGCGGGGCGGGGCTGGGAGAGGAGCGTGAAGGACAGGAGGATCGGGTGTCGCTAGAGGTGCATCCGGCCCAAGGTGCCCCCAGGATTTACCAAGGAGGCCTCCGCGGCCTCCAGAGCATCCCTCACGAGGCCCGGAGGGCCCAAGGGGCTCCAAAGTTGATCGGAAAGCTAGGGGCACCTCGGGCCAGGGGCACCTTGGGCAACCCCCTACACCTTAGGCGATGCTTAAGAAAACCTAAGTTTTCGGCCAGGGTCTCGATTATTCTTAATGTTTCAATATAAATCCCAAGATTTTGATAGAAGTTCTGGGTTTTATTCCAGTTCTGAGACTCTGAATTTCTTAACCCATGATTTCTTAAGCATTTCGCAGGGTGTAGAGGAAGGATTGGGTGTGGCCGGGATGCTGGAGGTGGAGGCACCAAACCTGTGGTGTGTGTGTGTGTGTGGTTTGTTGGCCGGGGAGAGCCTGTTCGAGGATAACCACGTCCCACGAGTTGCGGGTCACTCGATTTTTTGTTATCGGAAGTTTGTGGGGGCAGCAGGTCCAGGTCCAGTGGAGCTGCGAAGCTCCAGAGGGTCACCCGTCCGTGCTGCCCTGGGTCCAGGGGCCAGTGGGGTACCAGGATCACAGATGCCCTCGCGGCTGGAAAACTCCTGCCTGGGTTTCAGGAGTGGCCCGATACCTGATATCTCAGCAGGAGGGATCGACAGGGCCCTCTTGATACTGATTTGCCTGATCCCCGCGAGCTTGACAATGCCAATTTTGTTTCGGAAGCTCGGTGGCAGAGGTCAGTCTTGTTCGATTTTATTTCGCCGCGCCTAGTCAGAGGAGCTCGCCGTGGATTTCCGAAGAAGGAGATGAGTACGAGTAGGATGATGATGACAAGGGAAGGAGATGATGACGACGGTGATGAAGATGCCGGAATACTAATACGGACGATGCTGCTGCTGATGAGGATGATGATGGTGATGTCGATGATTCTGATGATTCTGATGATTATGATGATTATGATGGAGCTGTTGATGACGATGATGCTGATGGTGGTGATGATGCTGATGATGACGACGATGACGATGATAATGGATGTCATGCTGATGCCGATGAGGTTGTTGGTGGTGGCGTTGATGACGGTGGTGATGATGCTGACGACTGCGATGATGATGATGATGATGATGATGATGATTATACTGATTCTGATGTTAACGACGATGATGATGCTGATGATGATGACGATGCTGATGATGATGCTGATGATGATGATGTTGATGGTGATGATGATGCTGATGATGATGACGATGACGATGATGATGGTTGTCATCCTGATGCTGATGAGGTTGTTGGTTGTGGTGATGACGGTGGTGATGCTGATGACGACTGCGTTCATCATGATGATGACGATGATGATGCTGATTCTGATGATTACGATGATGATGCTGATATGCTGATGACGATGCTGATGCTGCTGACTATGATGTTGACAATCATGATGATGCTGATGATGTTGATGATGACGATGATGACGATACTGGTGATGATGACGACTACGACGATGATGGTTATGATGATGCTGGTGATGATGATGATGATGATGCTGATGCTGATGCTGATTGTGATTATCATGATTATCATGATGATCATGGTGATGACGATGATGACGATGATGCCGATGATGCCGATGATGCCGATGACGATGACTATGACGACGACGATGATGATGACGATGCTGATGCTGATGCTGCTGCTGGTGATGATGATGCTGCTGCTTATGATGATGCTGATGATGCTGATGTTATTGATGTTGATGTAGATGATGATGATGATGATGATGATGATGATGATGATGATGATGATGATGATGTTGATGATGATGATGATGATGATGATGATGATGTTGATTATGATGTTGATGATGGTGATGATGATGATGATGATGATGATGATGATGATGATGATGATGATTATGATGATGCAGAGGAGGCGGAGGAGGACGAGGAGGAGGAGGCGGAGGATGATGATGATGCTGCTGATGATGATGATGATGATGATGATGATGATGATGATGATGCTGATGATGATGATGATGATGATGATGATGATGATGATGATGATGGTGCTGCTGCTGATGATGATGATGCTGATGAGGATGATGAGGAGGATGATGAGGAGGATGATGAGGATGAAGACGGTGATGGATGAGGAGAGGGATGACGAGGACGCCTCTTGCGGGGCCTTCGAGCACTCCCATAAAGCCTCCAGCCTCCCAGCCTCCATCCCAGCCTCCACTCGTGAGATTCTCGTGGGTTGGCCAGTCCAAGTAACGTTATCTTCAAGTATTTCACCTGGCTTCCAGGCAGACTTCCACCTCTTCCAGCGGTGCTGCTAAGCCAGAGTATTCGCGCCTCTGTGACCACACTCCCATTCAGTCTATGCCTGAACGAATGCCAGTCCATTGATCTCTCAGCTTTCATAGATTCTGCTGGCCTCTTCAGAACTCATCCAACATTCTAGTAGTGACTACGGAATCCGCCGAATCCTTGGTAAGTTCCGCGGAGGAAGTACGGGCCAAAAAAATAGCCCTCTCAAACGTGGCAATCAACGTGGGGACCCACCAGAACTCAGCTGGGCACGCTTCAATATCCTCAAGCAGTTTAGCAACAGACTCCAGTTCTCATATACATCCACATTCCTACGTCGTTTCGGACCAGCCTGGGTGACATACGCGCTAACCTGGGTAACTCCTGTGGTGATCCACCTCAGAGTGGCCATGTAAGACTTCCACGAAACTATACTTTTCTCACAGTGGATCTCGAGCGGGACGTGTACAACCCTGTGGCCGCATCCTCGTCTGGATATTTTCTTCAAGGGCGTATTGGTCAGGATGCTGATCATTTCCTCCAGGTATAAAGCAAAACCAGCGCACAACGAATCCAGGGCCGCCTGTCTGTGTGAGAAGAGCCCCCTCCTCATGGTGTCCTCCAGCTGGCCTACCTCCACCCCAGTCTGATCCCAATCAGGGTTTCAGAAACATGACCCAAAGAGGAGAGCAAGCCGCAAATGCTGGCACTTCGCCAAGATGGACACATTAGCCTTACCATCAACGTTCACATGCAGCGTGACAGGGCAGTGAGGAGAGACAGGGTATGCACGATGCCATGCTGCGCGCTAAGCAAAGCCCATCAGCATTTGCGACAGCATGACGGAATCAATGACACGCTTGGACTCCTGCTTGACGCACAGGGGGATGTCAAACACGACACGCTCCATGCACGCGCGATGTGGGAACTCAGTGGACGCAACTCTGGATGGCAGCATGCCCGAATCACCCGCTACAATCACAGGCATCTGCCCAGCTTCTTCAAGATAGGTAATAACACATTGTACGTAAGTATTGGTAGGGTTGAGCCCCGCGCAAGTCACAGTGTAGATGCTAGCAAGCACCTGCGGGGTAGTTCAGGAATCTCAAGCTTCAGGGCACGCAGCCAGTTGCACACATCAGCCAAATCATACTTAACTGGGCTAGCACACATTTTCATCCACGCTCCGATTAGGATAGCCAGTTCACCAGACAACACCGCAGATTCATGAGATGAAGCTTGCGAGAAAAACGGGTGCCAGCCACGCGATTTTCGCACCATTCAGCAACATTTGTTGTAGCCTAGTAGGATTCCCTGCAGAACAAGAAATGACGCCTGTGGGAAGTTGAAGTGACCAGACGAAGGAGGAGGAGGAGGAGGAGGAGGAGCAGCAGGAGGAGGACGCGGACGCGGACGCGGACGCGGACGCGGACGCGGACGCGGACGACGACGACGACGACGACGACCGACGGACGACTGCCGAGGGACGACGGACGACGGACGACGACGACGGCCCGCGAGGAGATAAAGGGCGGCGCGGGTGCCGGCGGCGCGAAGGCCGCCGCCGTTGCCGCCCCTCCTGGGGCGCGCGGGGCGAGGCGGGGTGGAGGGAGGGGGAGATGAGGGAGGATGGGGCAGCTGGAGGGAGGAATGTGTAGGAGGAGGGAGGAGGGAGGAGGAGGGAGGAGGGAGGAGGGAGGAGGGAGGAGGGAGGAGGGGAGGAGGAGGAGAGGGAGGGAGGGAGGAGGAGGGAGGGAGGGAGGAGGGAGGGAGGGAGGGAGGGAGGAGGGAGGGAGGAGGGAGGGAGAGGAGGAGGAGGAGGAGGAGGCGGAGGAGGAGGAGGAGGAGGAGGAGGAGGAGGAGGAGAGGCAGGTGGAAGGAGGGAGGAGGGAGGAGGAAGGGGGGAATGGAACGGCATGGATCTGTCGCGAAACGAAGCGACATGAATTATCCAACCGTGGACTGGGGATTCGACCTGGCCTGAATTTTGGCTCCTGGGAATCTGGTACAGCTGCCAGAAGCCCTGCACCTTAATTAGCACTGCCCATCAGGTGCGGTATGCGCAGCAGGTGGGCGGCAAAAGCCCTCCGCAGCACGAAAAACCATTCAGCTGCACCCCGCGGCACGACGAGGAGAACTAGAGAGAAGACCCAGAGGAGCAGAAACCGCCCGCGACCCCAGGAGAGAGAGAGGGGGACGGAAGAGAGGAGGGGCAGCGAGGCGAACGCGACGAGAGGGAGGCGATGGAACGGGTCGCGGCCAGGCACTGCCCCGCTCCCGCGGGGACGCCAGGCACGGGGAACCTCCGATGCGCCCCGCGAGCCCCAGACGAGGCGGCCCCAGATCCGCCACCAGCGTCTCGAGCCGAGGCCGAGCGTCGTGGGGCAGCCCTGCACGACTGCGGGCACGCACCTGTGGGCGGCGAAGCCGACAATGCACTCGGGAGCGATCCGCTGCCGTCTATGGCTGCCCGGTCGATCTGTGGACCTGTCGGCACGGCGCCCTTCTGTACCCCAACGCCTCCCAAGGAGGTCAGCGTCCCGAAGCAGCCGTGTTCGGATTTCGTTCCTCTCCCAGGGCGCCGCAGCTGCAGCGATCCTGCCGACCTCGGGCTGAGAGGGACGAGCTCCGACGCCGCGCTGCTGAGGGGTGCGGGGTGCCCTCACCTGCCCTGCTGCCATCGCGGCCCCTGCGGCGGCGAGTTTTCTCAGCTGAGAGCCCCGCCGCACCGGCGTGAATCTCAGGCGGGCCGGCGATCTGTGTGTCTCCAGCCTTTGCCCCGGCGTCTGCCCTTTGGGAAGAGCCCTCGAGCGACACGGTGAACAGCAGATCTCCGTCCTCCGCCTCGGCTTCCGTCGCCGGGCTCTTAGCTTCATCAGCATGTGCTCAGGAGGAGGAGGAGGAGGAGGAGGAGGAGGAGGAGGACGAGGAGGAGGAGGAGGCAATTTTTGGAGGATGTCGCGAGCGAAACGCTCTGTTTTTGGGACAGCTGTTGAACAACCAATGGTCTTTCAATCACTTCGCCTCCGAGGACCCGTCCGAATGCAATTTTCGGAGGACGTCTCGAGCGAAACGCTCTGATTTAAACAGAACTGTTAAAAGCCTGCCACGAGGAGCGCGTCCGGGTGGGCGGCCCCCAGCCGCCTGGGGTGGCAGCCGCGGTGCTCCGTGCCGTTAGGGCCCGCACGGGCTCGCGGGGCAGGGCGTGGCACGGCCCCGGGGGGCCCAGAGAGCCCGTCGGCCACGCAGGGATCGCGGGGCCCGCAGGGCTCCCAGGGCTCGTGGGGCTCCCACTCCTCCTCCTCCTCCTCCTCCTCCTCCTCCTCCTCCTCCTCCTCGTCCTCGTCCTCCTCCTCCTCCTCCTCCTCGGCCCTGGGGGCCCGGAGAGCCTGAAGGCGCGGAGCAGCGCCTCAACGGCTCGAGCCTCCGCGCGGCCCGCCTGGGCGCGCCGCTCGGCAGCCGCGCGGCGACGGCTCCTGCGGGCGCCCCGCCGCTGGAGGGTCTGGGATATACGTGTTGAAGGGCCCGCGAGCAGATAAGAGCGAACAGTCTGAAAATCATTGCTGCTGTTGTTGTTGTTGTCGTTGTTGTTGTTGTTGTTGTTGTTGTTGTTGTTGTTGTTGTTGTTGTTGTTGTTGTTGTTGAACATTATTAATTCTAAAGAATAATTATTGTTGGGCCCCCTGGTGCGCGCCCCCCCCGCCGCGCCTAGGCCGCAGCCGCGTTTTCATCATTTTCGTGAGGAAGCCTCAGGTAATTCGATGTCATCAAGATCCGGTTGTTTTGTTCCCCCCGCTTTCCCTTGCAAAAAACACTATAAAATGACATTTCTTGTTCTAATATAATCAAATTTCAAGAATCCCTTGCAAAAAATAAGGTAAAGTGGACATTCGCGCGCGCAAGACGAAATCCTTCCAAAAGCTTAGTGTTCGGAGCGATTTTAACATAAAAACATCAAAAAACCAATGGTTTTTCAACAAAAAAATGTCA